CATGGAGAGGAGGCGTCTTTCCAGAACTACGGCCCCCGTTTATGGACCTGCAGCCGGAGGAGCTCAGGGACAAAGAGAACGTTCATGTTTTTAAGAGCAGAATCAAGACCCACCTTTTTAGCTCAGCTTTTGATTGAAATCTTATACTTTTACTTGTTTCTATTGTATTCATTTTATTATATTTATTTATTTTAGGCATATTTTTAGGATTTCCAGTGTTTCCTCTGTAGGAGCTTCTGCATCAGGAGCGGAGGTCGGCTGTGGTGTGTCGGGTTCTGTCCTGTGGGCTCCTGGTGGAGGGTTGGTGTTTGGGCTTCATCTCTCCCCTGGCTCCTGTGGTGGTTCCTGTGGTGGTTCCTGTGGTGGTTCCTGTGGTGGTTCCTGTGGTGGTTCCTGTGGTGGTTCCTGTGGTGGTTCCTGGTGGTGGTGGACGACGTCTCTCTGCTCCTGATGTAGAAGCTCCTCTGATGGTGCTTTCTCAACCGATTCACCTGTATTCAGCCAAACATTTTACTATGTCCGGTTTTATGTATTTTAGCATGTTAGTGTGTGTGTGTGTGAGTGTGTGCATGTTTGTGCTTATGTGAGTGTGTGTGTGTCTGGGTTGTTTGGTTGTGTGAGGTTGGGGGTGTAGGGGTTGGGTCGGTGGGTGTGTGGATGGAAATGTGGGATTGTTTTTAATCACTGTAAAGCACTTTGTGTTACATTTTTGTCTGAAAAGCACTTTATAAATAAAGTTTGATTGGTTTGATTGATGATAGACAGAACATAGGATGCAGAATAGAGACAGACAGAGGTTTGAGTTTATCTTGAGTCCACAGCCGCTTCCAGGAGCAGACAGAGTTTGGTCACTGGTCTCTCCAACTCACTGGTTTTGGTCTTGATCTGTGCTGAGTGAACCAGGCCTCTTGAGTCAGTGTTTACTGCCAGGACTCTTCCCATCTGCCAGCGACCAACACAATGTCTCCAGGACAGATGTTTTTCTTCTCGGCCTTATCCACTTCTGTCTTTCCTGCATGATTGGTAAGTACTCAGAGATCCATCGTTTCCAAAATATTTCTGTCATGTATTGCACTTGTCTCCATCTTTTCTTCAAGTACAAGTCTTCCCTTTCAAACAGACCAGGTGGACATGACAGATTTGCCCTTTAATGTTAGGATGTGATTTGGTGTGAGGGCTTCTAGATCACCTGGATCATCAGAGACTGGTGTTACAGGTCTGTCATTCAAAATGGCCTCGGCTTCACAAAACACAGTTTGGAGAACTTCATCATCCACAATCTGCTGCTTGAGGATTGAAGTGAGCACATTTCTGACTGAGCGAATCAGCCGCTCCCAGACGCCTCCTTGATGTGAAGCTGCAGGTGGATTCAAATGCCACTTTATGCCATCTTGCACCAAAGTCTTGTTAATTTTGTTTTGATTCAAAGCAGCCAGACTTTCTTTGAGCTCCCTGTTGCTCCCACAAAATATGTGCCATTATCTGACCTGATAGAGGAGACTGGACCACGTCTGCATACAAATCTCCTGACTGCACTGATACAAGAGTCAGTATCCAGTGTGTCTGCAACTTCTAAATGAACAGCACGACTGGTCAGACATGTGAAAATCACTCCATATCTTTTGAGGAGGCCCCTGCCCTTTTTAACATCGATGGGGCCAAAACAGTCCACTCCAACGTCAGTGAATGGAGCTTTGTCTGGCATTACTCTTTCCAACGGCAAATCAGCCATTTTTTGTTCCATTAACTTTCCTCTGTTTCTTCTGCAGGTGACACATTCAGACAGGACTTTTCTGGCTGCAGAGTTTGCACTGATTATCCAGTACCTTTGACGGCGCCTGGAGAGCATGTGGTTCCTTCCTGCGTGGCCAAGCTGATGGTGACTAGAGCGCAGGCGTGACCCTGACAGCGGCAGGAATAAACTTTTATTCATCATGGAGATACAGCGCGTTCAGCCGCATGTGTTGGACCCGGAATCGGACGAGGACTTTGAGGAGCACGAAGCTCAAGCACCGCGTCCACATCAGCTGAACATTACTGATTGGTAAAGTTTTAATAAACACTAGTAGATCAACTTATTATATCGTGTAACTGCAGTGTAGAACAATGAGCTTCTGCTGTCGCTTCTGTTTTGGTTCATGTGGGAAATGTCAGACGATGTGGGAGGAGGTGGTGGAGCGGGGGACGGGGGTGGGTGCAAAGAGCCTTCTGCTACGTCAAACGTGTCATAGGTGAATCTGCTGCGTCATCGTTGTAGCAGCTTTAGTTCGTTGTCACGTGGGAGGGAGGAAGAAATATGCTGCAATTTGTTTAAAAAAAAATGCTGAATCAATCCAAAAACAACTTCGGCGACAAATACAAGGCCCACACATCACTCTGAGAAGGTAGAAAGATCTGAAAAGTTGATTTTGCATGAGATGAACCCTTTAAGGTGCTACGGCTCCCCGGGGACTCTTTTGGACGTAACACCTGAGGCAGACCACACCAGAGGGTAAGTACGTTCATTTTAACCACGATCACTTAAATTAAATGCACTTATTTCTTTTACAGGTCACTTCACAATAATCTGCACAACAATCACTTATTCAATAAACATTTTTAAAACTGTTTCTTATTACCGCACCTGTTCTGGCACTAGGCCCATGTAATGGACTGGCTACATTACATTTCCCGACACGTTTGAGCAGGAGCACTTCTGTGTTCTTCAGACGAGTCACTGTGACGTGTTGATGGTTCTGCTTCCTGATTTCAGCCTCAGCCTCTTGTATCTGTTTTTGTGCTGTGCTGTGTATTTGTGCTCCTCTTCTTAGCTCTGTTATTGTTTATTTCTTGTGCTCCTTTTTCCTTGTGCTAAATGTACTTCCTTCCTCCCCAGTACATGTTTTATTGTCTGTTTTCTGTGGATTCTTTTACAATAATGACAATAACATAAAAATGATAGAGCAGACACAAGAACAATGGAGCTGATTTGATCTTTATTTCCCAGACAAAACATGAAAACCATATTCTTATTGACATTGCTCTTCTGGGTGTCCACAATGTAACACGTTTAACACACAAATCCCAAGACAAAAAATAGGAATATATTTTATTTGTCACCCGCTTTACATTTTAAAAGCAAAAATCTCAAAGTTGTAACACACATAATTAAAGATTTAACCACCTGGCTCCACTCCACACCCCAAACTAAAAATCTACAGAGAAAAACATTATTGTTATTAAAGAAACACATTCTGCTAAATCAACACATGAACTCTGTTCTAACAGTGTTTTCTCATGATCTCATTCAGAGTTGTTTCTAATTTAATCATTTGAGACTTGAGAGCTCAGAAAATTTCAGTTTCCCCTTTCCCCACCCACACCTTTGTTCTTACGTACAGTTGAACAATGAATAATCTGTAAAATAATGATCTATGTAGGTTTACTACAGTAAAAAAGTCCCATACTGCAGCTTTAAAACAGCAGTGTTTAGTACCTTATACATTTAAGTGACACATGTGAACACAGAGCAGCAGCAGAGACAAGAGCAGAGCTGGAGGCAGAACCTGCACTGCTCCTGAGAACACGACTCATCCTTGTCCTCCTCCGGCTCTGAGGTGGGCGGGGCCTCTGTGGCGGCTCGTGTCGTGTGTGTGGTTAAGGTCACGGCCTCTGTTGTGGTTGGCGTTGTGGTTGGTCAAGGCCGCGTCCTTTGTTTGGGTTTTTGTCGTGTGTGTGGTCAAGGCCGCGTCCTTTGTTTGGTTTGGCCCCGCGTTTGGTTGTGGGCGGGGCCTCTGTGGTGGTTGGCGTTGTGTATGTGGTTGTGGGCGGGGCCTCTGTGGTGGTTGGCGTTGTGTATGTGGTTGTGGGCGGGGCCTCTGTGGTGGTCCATGGGGCGTTGCAGTAGCTGGTGTTGCAGCAGGACAGTGGTTGGTTGTTGGTGTACAAGTATCTTTGGGAGAAGGTGAGGTTGTTGCACAGATTCTCAGAGACACATCCATAAACACTGTAGCTCCCAACTGGAACACAGAAGATCCACACAACTCAAACATGCACGTTAAGAATATTCACATTTAGAAGAATATATACAGCATTTATTCATATCCAGCTCGGCTCCTCGACCAGAGGCCTGGGAGCCTGAGGGTTGAGGGATCCTTCAGGATCAGGATCGTACGTCCTTGAATTAGTCATTCAGGGTGAGAATAGGGTCTCCTCCTTTAGCAGTTGGTTCATTTGTGCTGCCAGGTGCTCGTGGAGAACAGTGAGCTTCTTTAGGATGTATGCGTGGCTCCTCTGTGAATTTGAGTTTGACTCTCCTGCTCTAAAATAACCGTCTGGCCTTTGCGGTTTTAAAGTGCATGTAGAAAGCTGCGCTCTCCACATGTGCCTCCAGGCCTCCGTAGAAAGGCAAAACAACACAAGTTAAGGGGACGTTTGGAACAATGGTTGTTGCAGTTTGCGCATTGACAAGAAGCGTGTAGTAAAGAACATTGTGACTACAACCATGTTTCAAACAGACAGAAGTGAAGGAAAAACGGGATTATTTGGATATAATTTGAAACTATTTAATTCTACTTTTCACACACAAGGTTTTTAGATTTTATTGGGCCACCACTGTTGCCTTGAATGCCCTGACCGCACACCACTGCCTCAGACTCTTTCCTGGATGTTTGCCACTATGATAATGACAAGATTTAGTTCACGTTGCTGTGGTTTTCTCTCAGATCCAACTGTGTGTCGGTGTTATGTGATGCCTTCCCTCTCCCATGTGCCTTTCCAGTTGGACCAGTTTAAAAACTGGTGAAACATCATGAAGAAATAAAAGGCAAGTGTGTCTCTCACCAGAAGTGTTGGCGCAGGTCTCCAGGACACTGCAGGTCACAGTTGCTTTGCATTCATCTGTGTTTGGGTCACAGTCGTAACACTGCAGCGAGCCAGCAGGGGGCGCTGGAAATGAAACAAAGAGAACAAAACTCAAATATTACCCTCTATACTCAGAGATCAGAGGTCAGATCACTCACAGGTCGGGTTTGGAGCGTTGCAGTCGTCTGTGTTGCAGCATGTGTAGTTTCTGAGGTAAGACCTGGAGCCAGTGTCATAAGAAACAAACTCAGACCCTGCAGCTGTACAGACCGAGGATGAAGCACAGCCTTTTCTGATTCCGCTGTAACTGGAGCTTCCATAATTGTAAGAACCCTGAAACCAGAACAGAAACAGGTCAGATCTGAAGAGACTTCTCCAAGAACCAGGTCTGGACTGTGGAACCAGAGCCAGACCCGCCCACTACAGACCTGTACCAACCAATCAGAGAGAGGCTCAGACATGCAGTGACCAATCAGAGGACAGTACTGTACCTGCGTAGGCATCAGTGTAACAGAAGGGGGCGAGTTTGGAGCAGGTCACCGAGCGCTGAGAAGAACATGACGAGTCTGTGCACGACAAACACTGTATATCCCCAGATCTGAAAGAGACACAGGTTAGACTGAACCAGGACTGAACCAGGACTGAACCAGGACTTACCTGGGACGTTGCAGTGGGAAGTGTTGCAGCAGGACACTGGGTACTGAAGCCAAAATATTGTTGTGACAGGTTGGATGTTGTTGCACAGATTCTCAGAGACACAGCCGTAAAATGGACGGGATGGGTTATATTGGTCAACTGTAACGAAAGGTCAGAGGTCGGGCTGAATCGGGGGAGGTTGTGTAAGAGCAAGAAGTTTGTGAACTTGGAGAGGAGTCCTGATTCTTCCAGTAAAACAATGTACCTGCCTGAGGAGACTGTGCTGGAGTGTTTAGTGACTCAACTCATATTATGTCATGAGGGGCGAGGCGCAGGGTTCCAAACTGCAAACTTTGACAATGAATTTGTTAAACTCGGGAAGAACAGCTAAGATAAAAGACTGATTTACTGATCAATAAATCTCCACAGGATCTATACTAACTCATGGCTGAATGGAAGGAGCCCTGGTCACCGCCCACACCATTGGACAAAGTCTGTTTTTAGGCAGATTTTTGGCCTCCAGGAAAGTTCAACATTCATGATGATGATGGTCTCTCTTGTCCTGTTGTATTTTGGTGAACTGGTGCATGAAACAGTAGAAGTGGATCTTTTGAACTGTACTCACCCACAGCCTGTCCACACACCTCCTGGGTGTTACAGGTCACATTGGCAGTGCATTCATAAGAGTAAGGATCACAGCTGTAGCACTGCAGAGAACCAACAGGGGGCGCCACAACTGAAACAAATGTGTGTTAAATGAGACATTTTCAAAGTGCAGAACATCAGCTGATAAGAGAGAATCACTCACTGGACTGATTCTGGTTGTTGCAGTTGTCTGTGTCGCAGCACGTGGTGTTTACAGCATAAGTGTTGGGGCCATAATTATATGAAACAAACTCAGACCCTGCAGCTGTACAGTCTGAAGCAGAAGCACAGCCTTTATAGGTGTAGTTGTAGGTGTAACTGTAGTCTCCATAATCGTAGGAGCCTAAAGACACAAAAGGAACAAATAAGAATCTCCTGAAGAGGGCAGTGCAGGTGCTGGTGCAGCACAACCTGAAAAAAACACATTCAGTCCCACACGCCTCTTTGGCCACTTCAACAAAGTGAGACATATTTGTGATTCAGATTTGATGTTAGTTTCTGTATTATCATGATCTGTATTATTTAATACATGTGTCCTTAAACCCTGTTTTTGTTGATTTGTTCAGAGTCTTGATGTTGAGGTGGAAGCGTCACAAGAGCAGAACAAGACCAAAACTAAAACTTTATTTAAGTTGATTAGTGAGAAAACCACAGACATGACCAATCAGAGACACACACATGCACTGTGAGCCAATCAGAGACACACACATGCACTGTGAGCCAATCAGAGACACACACATGCACTGTGAGCCAATCAGAGGAAGTCTTGTACCTGTGTAGGACCTGGAGAAACACGCAGTAGTTTGATAGGAGCAGTTGACTAAACGCTGACTAGAGCCGGAGCCGCTCATGCACTGAAGTCTGTGAACTGTGAGAGAGAGAGAGACTGATGTCAGATACACACACATTGGCAGTACATTCATAAGAGTCTGGATCACAGCTGTAACACTGCAGAGAGCCAACAGGGGGCGCTGAAACAGAGAGGAGCAGTTGGACCTTTGAGAAAAAGTCTATGGGGTTTTAGTTTGGACATGTTTGTTTGGCTTCTCCATTGAAGCTGCCAACTGAGGGTTTATTCGGTGTCGGGTGCAAAGTGGACTAGGCGGCAGTTGAGGTCAGGGGCCTTTGCAATCAAATCCACGGGCACAGAACCTGGCGGTAGAGACATGGAACGTCACCTCGCTGGGGTTAAGGAGCCTGAGCTTGTGCAGGAGGTTGAGAGATACCGTCTAGATTTTGTCGGGCTCACGTCCACGCACAGCTGGGCTCTGGTACCCAACCTCTTGAGAGTGGTTGGACCCTCCATTTTTCTGGTGATCGATCTTTGTCTTCATGTCATCTGACCTCCGCGTTCATCCCAGATGCTTCACACTCAGGTCAAACCGTCCCAGTGCTGCAGGTCCTGGTCTGATGAAGACAAAAGGACAACATCATCTGCAAACAGCAGAGATGATCCTGTGGTCCCCAAACCGAACCCTCTGACCCCTGACAGCTGGGATGAAGATCAGCTCCTCCAAATCTCGAGGTCGTGGTTCTGGACCAGAAAAAATGTCTTGTCGTCTCCGGGCAGGTGGAGAGTCTCTGCCTCAAGTGGAGGAGTTTAGGTCTGTCGGGGTCTTGTTCTGGAGTGAGGGGAGGATGGAGCGTGAGATTGACAGGTGGACAGGTGCAGCGTGGGCATTGATGCGGTCGGTGTATCGGTCGGTTGTGGTGAAGAGGGGCTGAGTCTGGATTTAGCGTCAGTTTCCGTTCCTCCCCTCACCTCTGGTCATAAACTTTGGTCATGACCCGAAGGACCAGATCCACGATACAAGCGACACAAATGAATTTCCTCTGCAGGGCGTCCGGGGCGTCTCCCTTAGAGACAGAGTGAGGAGCTCGGAGTAGAGCCGCTGCTCCTCCACGTGGAGAGGAGAGTCTGAGGGGAGGACGTCTGTTCTGACGTCTCCTGGACGTGTCCCTCAGGAGGTGTTCATGTTCCACCGGGAGGAGGAGAAGACCCAGGACACACTGGAGGGACCGATGTCTCTGGACTGGACTGGGAGGAAGTGTGCATGGAAATGGAAGTCTGAGAGTCCCTGTTTAGACTGATGCCTCCGCGACCCAGCTTCAGATAAGAGGAAGAAAATGGATGTTTGTTTGGGACTTTTTTAAAATGCAATTTTTCATTATCTACAATTATTAACCTGTTACCATCCACCTATTTTGGCATGTGCACAATAGCACTACATACCCAAATGCCATAGCTTATTAAAAGAAAACCTTAGAACCCACATGCTTGTGTGAGGCACCATTTTAAAGCTTAGACCTTCTAGTTTCTGTAGATATGCATATGAAGACTGTGAGTGCTGCCTAACCTACAGTACAGTCAATTAAAACATTGTATTTTTTTGCTTCGAAAAAAACAATTGAAAAAAATAAAGGCCTTAGCTTAGTCATACTTCATGCTAGGCATTTGTGATTCACTACACTCATTGTTCAAGTTGTTGGCAACAACTGTGTAGAATTTCAGATCTCTAGGACAAAGGGTTTTGATGCTGTGAGCCTTTGTGTTTACAAAATGACAATTCGGCACAAGATTGCCAAATTTGTGCCAAAATAATAATAATAATAAATAATAATATAATTGTTATTATTATAATACTAATTCTTCTGAGCTTTAGGCATGTTTTCTCAAGAAAAAAAACTAAAAGTAGCCAAAATTGTCTTCCAAGTGGAAGATCTGCCCTTCTATAGCACCGCCCGCACCTGCTCCCTGTCTCCCTCTCTCCTTACGCTTATAAACACAGGGTCCGTTTCCAATACAATCTGCATGTCCCACCCACTGTTTGAAAGCTCTGGTGATTGGCTAAAAACAATATGTCAATCACTTTCTGGAAGATCCAATGAACTGAAGAGATTTCCCGTAAACAAACTGATGACGCGTGCGTAAATCCAGGAAGTACGTGAGTGCGTTAGCTTCTTCAGCGGCTTGTCCCACCTAAACCCCGCCACCGACAACAGCGGGGAGGGTCTCATTTTGAAGCTAAGAGTGTGAGGAAACCAAAGCGTACCCAAGAGCGGCAAGAGAAACGGAACTCAGAGCGGGAGAAGGCTCGCAAAGGCAACATATCTTTTTATTCACGCTTTCATCCACTCATACGGATGAGGATTTTCTGGATTATTTACCCACATGGAATTATTTTTTGGAAAAAAACAACTTGATATTCTTTTTCTGTGGATTTTTACGGACTTATTGAGTACAACTTTTCATGGATTGAACACGTTTTGGACCGACAGAACCGCTCAAAGGTAAGAAACACGTATCGTATTCTTTGATTATGATGTGAATTTTTAAGTTATAGCGTTTTGGGCTCGTTGTACGACATAAAATGAATGATATGGTTGTTTTATTGAGAAATTAAGCTTTCAAACGATGTATGGCATGTCAGTAGTGAAAAACAATAATGAAGGTGAAAATACAGAGTGAACATTTTTTATTGGAAAATCGCCCGCCGGCAGGCGGGTGGATGGTAAGTGGTTTTAAAGATAATCTATATATATGTTGTTTACTGCTCATTCTCTCTGAAGCCTGTTCCATTAGGCGTCTGTTTGGGCTGAGGCAGGACACTTGGACTGGAAGGAGGTGACTTTGGAGGAACCCATCTACCAAGTCTATTTGTGTAAAATGAGGAGCAGCACTCACAGGTCGGGTTTGGAGCGTTGCAGTCGTCTGTGTCGCAGCATGTTTTGTTTCTGATGTAAGACCTGGAGCCAGAGTCATAAGAAATCAAACTCAGACCCTGCAGCTGTACAGACCGAGGAGAAGCACAGCCTTTTTTGGATCCAGCTGTAGCTATAGCTTCCATCACTGTTAGAACCTAAAACCAGAACAGAAACAGGTCAGATCTGAAGAGACTCTCTCCAAGAGCCAGACCCGCCCACTACAGACCTGTACCAACCCAATCAGAGATGCTCAGACATGCAGTGACCAATCAGAGGACAGTACTGTACCTGCGTAGGCATCAGTGTAACAGAAGGGGGCGGGGGCGAGTTTGGAGCAGGTC